GGGAGCCCAGAACTGGACCCAGCACTCCAGGTGTGGCCTCACCAGGGCTGAGGAGAGGGGAAGGATCACCTCCTTCAACCTGCTGGTGATTGGCAAATGGCGATTTTGCATGAACATTTTCTGTTCCAAGTGTTAAAATTAATTTGGAGGGGCCTTGGTATCTTCTGCTCCCGGGGAAATGTGCAAAAATGAGATATCAGCCATGAACAGGGGTGAGCAGTGTCAGGACAGGGGACGTCAGAGACCTGACTTTGTGGAACCTCTGGAAGAAATTAGGAAGCACACTGCTGCCGGCAGCTCCATCATAGCCACCTGGGCACCGTTGACTGCAGAAGCTGATGGTCTGCCTTACTCCCTGTGCATGATTGTACTAGAGTTCTCAAACAATCCTTACAGTGTTCATTTAGGGAATTCATATTTTGCTTCTAAAATGGTTTGGGTTTGTTTCTTTTTTAATTTTGCCATTCTTTTTTTAATTTATCAGGAAAGTCAAGGGAAGCAGCATTATTGCCTAAATGTCTCCTTCCTATGGTATCTTTTTAAAAATTGCTTGGACAGGAGGGAAAATGTTTATATATATATATATATATACACACACACACACTTAATATATAAGATGATTATAAAAAGCACTAACTTCAGCACGGGGAATTTTCAGGGAAATTAATGACTAGCCAAGGTTAATGGCCCTCAGCTTCACATTGGCCCATCAACTCTCCCAGTCAGTCATTAATTCCCAGGAAATACCTTGTGCCTTGATTGTTATTGCTTTAATACATTAAATTCAAGTTAAAGGCTTGACTTAATGTTTAGCCACTATAAAGTAAAACACAAGGAAGTGTTCCCACTGGATATATTCACTGTCAAATATATTTTTGTTTACCTTTTTTTCTATAGATATTTAAATAGAGGAATTGAATACTCATTTATCAATTTGCTTTGTTTTTACCACTCATAATAGTACACAAAAAATCCTTTATACACCTTTGTCCTTTATTTAATATTTCATTAAAGATATCTTGAGTTCAAATATGACTGAATGTGCAAAATATAGACATGACTATATTTAATATGATGATTATAATGATAAGATGAAGAAATTAAAAATTGATCAGAACTAGTTTTGATGTATCTAATTAGTATCATACTAGTTTTATTATCACAGAAAAAAGACATTATGATTATTTACAAGCTCCAGCAGAAAGTGAAAAATCAATGACTGTTTTGGTCCCAGACCAATTGAAAGGTGGAAATCTGATGATGCCAGTTGTTCTTGTGAAATTTCTGCCATCCTGACCTCCCTCACAGAGAAAAACGTTACTGACAGGATTTTTTTTCTGCCGTGTTCTGATAAACCTGAGTCAGATTTGGAAAAAAAAAATCTACCTGGATTTAGAGTGAATTCTGGTCTAAAGGCATGGTTTCATCTTTGTACTGTTCTCTACAGGTGAGAAATTAAGGAGAAAAAAAAGGGAAAGTTAGAATCTGAGTTTGAAATATTTAATATGTATTTTTAGTATCTCAGCAATGCTGAAAATGTCCTAGGTTTTTTTTTTTTCTTGAGGCATATCATATGTTACTTAATTACTCTTTGGATATGCTTGACCACATTTTTAAACACAGCCAGTTCACTTTCCTTCAAGACATGAAGAGAACAGATGAAGAAAAACCTTCCTTTCTTCAAAATTACACTCAAACTGTTGGTGTTTATATTTCATTCAATGGCCAAATAATGTACTCTTTCCACTGCGGAAAATAGTTGCACATGGGCTGAAAAATGTGTTTCTGAAACTTACTTTAACATTCCATAGACAAACCTAGTTTTTGGGGCCGCTTCATTAAAACCAACAGAGTTATGACAGGGATAAATCTGACTTACTGTAATGTGACTGTATACTAAAGTGAGGTTTGATTTGATGTGTACATAAAAGCACATCAGAATCACTACTCGATTTCTGCATTACGTTTTCAGAGGTCTGGCAAATGTCACGCAGTTACTGTCATGCATTGTTCAAGACAGTATACACTCAAAAGTCCTTGGGATGTGAGATGATGCTAAGTCAAGCCAAAATATGAGACAAAAGCTGCTTATAAAGGGATTCAGACAACTTAGTCTATATTTTGACTGATACTCTCCTGATGAGTCACCTGAACTATCTCTGCATCAGTTTTGCCAGACTGTAAAATGAGAAAAATGCTCATCAGGTAAAGAGAGAGAGAAAGAGAAAAAAAAAAAGGTTATTGTCACTTTGGATGTGATACTCCACACTGCCAGTCCTGTCAGTGCAACACTTGTAGTGTAATTCTGCACTACAATCAATTCCCCATTCTCTAGGATCAGGGGCTGGGGCAAGTTGCACACTGGGGTCATGCAGGTGTTGGAAGCACAGTGCAGAGACGCCCACGCTGTTCATCCATAGCTGGCTTCGCGTTGGAGCCAAGGAGGCTAGCTAGAACCCAAGCGGTTCGTGTGGAGCTGGTGGCTGTCTCTTCACCCAGCAATAGACAATCTGGATTACTCACCTCACATAATAGCTAGCTGGCTGCAACGGTAATGTGGCAAAATCTCCCAAATGGCCCAGCCCGGCACTCTTAAAACGTACATAAAATGCAGTCAGCCTATGTTCATCCCATCTCTGCAGGAGGGGAACTAGGAAAAAAAGCCACAGAGAAAGAAGAAGAGGAAAAGTGGCAGGCATCCTGAATGAGGATGGTTTGCAGCCATACTGAGCTCCCTTGCACAAGTTTGCCTGCAGGCTCAGGCAGATTTCAGTGTGTTGGTCCACCATCTGGCTCTCGTATGGATGGTACCTTCATAGCTGGGAAGAGCACTTGGACTGTGTGTGAGCCAAGTGGTAGCTTCAGATATGATGCATAAATGTGAGGTACTTATAAAAATCTGCAATTTTGCATCTGCTTTCCTGACCGTATAATCTCACCGTACAGGACAAAACTGCTTTAAATTCTCCATTCTTGAAACCAGTGTTTCTTGCCTTTTCCTGATGAAACCTTTGAGATGTATTGGGTAATCCATCTGGACATTTACATTATTGGTGTCAGCTGTGCCTTTTTACAAAGCTGCCAACTCCGCTCTGGATGTGCCACCTTCCCCTTTTGTCAGTTGGCTGTTCTTCCCCCACCTTGAATACCATCCTTATCACCGCACCTTTGCTCAGCTAGGGGACATGATCATGGGCATGCATCACACCATGGCATGGAGCAGAGGAGAGGCGGTGGCTTTGCCCCACACTGTGAGCCACAGGCTGTCCTGCAGGACCCAGGTAAGCACCCCACAGGAGACATGCGTTCCTGGCTGCATCTGTCGCAGCCTCGCTCCACTCAGCAGATGCACCAGGTCCTGTATCAGAGCCAGCAGCTGACCCTCGCACAGGGGTCTGAAGCAGGACAGGGCCCTGGTGTTGCAGATGTGCAACAAGACGTGGAAGCAAAGAAGGTTTGGGAATAGGCGGTACAGGCACGGAGGACGAAGTTTCTAGTGAGAGTGGGGAGAGGTTGACAAAAGGGGGACGTGGGTCCTGTCTGAAGAAATGCAGTGAATACAACTGGTCATCACAGCTCTCTGCACCTGAAATTTTTCTTTTTAATTGTTTGCAGTGGGAAAAAGTGGAACTGTACCAGGAACTAAACTGTCATTTGCATCCTATTTCAGACTCTGCCTTTTGTGGTGATGGAAGCAACCTTCCAGACATTAGCTGAACAGGAGCCCGGCATGGGGAGTTATGCCGAACTCTTCGGACAGCCTGAAGCAAGAGCTCTCTGCATGGCTGTAAGCTGATCCTATTTGTCTCAGTAGGGTGTTCAGGCTGAAGGCTAATGATGATAATTGAAATGTCGACATTAGCTATTTAATTGCAGCAAACAAATATCATTAATCTCTATAGATTTTTTACATTTATAAAAAGAAAGTGTTTCGTTTACTGTGGTAGGTAGATGCAGTGTCAACCAATTGCTAGAATTGCTACAGATCTTCACCTCAAAACTGTGTCTGAATCAAGGTATTGCTTAGTTTGCATAAAAAAATCCTCAATTTTCCTATGGATACCACAAACGTAAACATTTCATATCTGCTAAAATTGCTTGCTATCCCCCCAGCCAGCTGCAAAAGTATTCACATTTAATATTTTTCCACAATTGGTTATTATTTATTAACATATTATGTAAGAAATGTTAATAATTTATCATATAATAATTTACTTTATAAGAATTTCCAGTGTATATTGAACTTGTCCTCAGTACAAATAATGGCGTCAAACCAGAAACTGAAAAACAGGGGGCACTCTGAGGTAGGTTGCGTTGAATCTAATAAAAGCTAATAACAATAATTAACAAACAGCACAGTTACTCTGAAGGCACTGGGTTGCATAGGGAGCAATGAAAAAAAGCCTTATGTGAGAGCCTGTCTCGTAATTCTCTAGTTTCTCACTTGTCCTCAGTACAAATAATGGCGTCAAACCAGAAACTGAAAAACAGGGGGCACTCTGAGGTAGGTTGCGTTGAATCTAATAAAAGCTAATAACAATAATTAACAAACAGCACAGTTACTCTGAAGGCACTGGGTTGCATAGGGAGCAATGAAAAAAAGCCTTATGTGAGAGCCTGTCTCGTAATTCTCTAGTTTCTCTTAACATCAACCATGGCCAACGTGTTGCAGGGTTTTTCAAGCAATACTACTGTGTCTAATTAAAGCATAAACCTGTCTGATCCAAAATGGGGAGATTATGTCTCAGGAGCCACAGGGCACCATGGCCATCTGATCTTCCCACTTTGGGACAGCAACCCCTGGGGCAGAGGGGTGAAAAGATGGCAGGGCTCAGCGGTGCACTGCAGGGCCGTGCACCAGCGGCACATCCCTGCCATCGCCTGGGGGTCCGTTTCAGCTCAGGGAGGTTCATGCTCTTTAGGAGACGCCTGTTGCAAGCACAGATCTGTCACAGTGAGATACTGCAGCTTATCGCTTGTTTTGAAGCCAGGCTGCTGTGATGCCTCCAAGAGTCTCATCTTCAGCATCTCACCTGGGACTGCAACCCTGTATCCCACCGACCCCGACAGCTGTGATGGGAGCTGATGGGCTGCAGGTGGGACTGGCTGTCCTTCTTCCTTTTAGCTCAGGAAGGAGATCGCTGCCACGTGAGTCATGCTTGCAACGATTCTATTAATACAATTTAAAAACAACAGCTACCACAACCCACCCCCCCACCATTCAGTAACACACCATCAGACACCTTTCGCACCCTCCCTTTAATTTCATCCATTCTAAGTTTTTCCGAAAGACCAAAAGCTGCTAACGCTGCTGGCCCAGTCATATTTTCCTCTTGTCAGCTAGTACTATTTACTTAGTAGACATACGGGATTATATCTGCTCTTCTTTTTTTGTTTCAAATGCAACCTTGCTGAATACAGCCTGAAATTGCAAATAACTTGCTGTGAAGCTATGGTAAGCAGTTCAAAAGAGCATTCTAGCAGTAAAATTATTTTTAGCCAATTACGTTCTCGATCTCTGTCTCTCTTATCATTGCCACTGCTCTTTAAGCAAGCTGCTTGTTAACATTTTAGAAGTAGCTCACAGAGGCCTTGATGTGGTTTAATGTGCTCTTTGCCTTCTAAGGACTCTGCCTGCAAGTTTTGTTTACACGCATCTCTCATTAGGCTGGGTCATGCAACAGCAGGGTACTGTACAGCTCGCCCAACAGCCTAATATACATTGTTACATAGTTTTGAATTATGGTTTTTAGCCTGTGTCCTGCAGCCCATTACTGGGTGCCCACCTTTTTTAATATTAACAATCAACCAACATCTAGGCGAGGACTTTCTGAGGATGCCAGCATGGCATGGTTGAAATCTACTTTGACGGATTATCTTGAACAGAAAATTTGTCTTCTAGGATTCATTAAATGAAACAAAAATTATAACGTGTGCTCTTTCTAGGTGTCTAATACTCTCTTAGTTTATTTGGCCTCCTGAGTTGCTTCTCTGTACCACAGCTCTGCCTGAAACTTCCTCAACGCTGTGCTGCGTTTTGGCAAAATCCAAGTCTGATAGCGAAGCTTAGCCCACAATGCCTGCGCACGGGGAAATCCACCTCCCTGGTGAAATTCAGTTCCATCCACGGTGTCTTTTCATACGTTCATATTTACACAAAGGCAGCCTTCATGCTCCCGACTCCATTTGATCTTCCATGTTGTCCCTCTACACAGCATAGTCTCCTTTTTATTCAAATCCTCCCCAGATTCACTTCCATTGTGCATTGTAGATGTCAGTCCCTTGGCATAATGAACTCTCTCACAGCTGTAGAAATTATTGTTGAATTGTCAGTTCTGTTTAAAATGTCAGGATTAACTGTCACCCAGCTGGTCATCTGAGCAGGAAGAACTACCTAATGGGCTCATTTGCTGCTGCCTGGTGCATGGGAGACATGAGAGATTTCTGCAGGGCAGCCGGGCCCTACCCTACCATGGGTAGGTTGAGAATGAAAAAGTCTGGTCGCTTCCTTTCCTGATTAAATGCCACCTCTGCCCTACAAATATATGAATGAGAAAATATGAATTTGAGGCTAATTATAATTTTCCATTAATAAGTCAAGCCCACGTTTTGTACAGAAAAAAATAAGTTAGTTCTTTAGCGCTAGAAATAATTTGTTAACCAAAAAAAGTGGCTGAGACTTTCCAGCTTCAGGATCTGTGCTATTTCAAAACAAATATTCCAGTTTCACAATACTTGCAACACAGCCTGATCAATGCTAGCACGCAGCTTCATGTATGGATCCCTGGTGCCGAAACTGCTCTCGCTGGAATTTTTGATCCAGTTCTACTCAAAGTCCGTAAAATGCATAGAGAACCAGAATTTTGAAACCAAACATTTTTGAAACTCGGGAAGCACAGATTTCTGGTTTGGATCCATACTCAGTCTAGAAAGGACATACGACCTTGAAATGCGTTGACTAATATTGTTAAAGATATTGCGGGCTTTCGGTATATGTAAGAAGTTCTACAAATCCTATAAAGTTTCATCCACTTCCAGTCTTACTACAGCATTTCCTCTCCTAGAAAAGAGATCATGGTTTTGAGACATTTGTCCTCAATTAGTTTGCTTGCCAGTTTAAACACTTTTCCCAGTTTAAGATAATTATATATCATTTAAAAATAAATTTACAGAAAAAAGTCCTATAAAATTGTTTGCAATCAATTTAAATAATTAGCCGTAGCTGTTATAACATGTTAGACTGATAGTATCTGCAGATGATATCAATTTATCATTTGTTCGTCACGATTCAAAACATAGGTAAATTCGCCCAAAATTACAATCCAACATTGAGAGTATAAAATTGTATTATTACAATTGAACTGGAGGGGAGTGCTGGGATTTGACTGCCTGAATTTATTCCTGGGAAAAATATAAGCCAGAAATCATAGTTGGGAGGCTCAGATGCTGTTGCTTGCTATCACTTATTTTAGGTAACATAAGGACATAGCATAGAGATTAGCCTGATACGATATAAATGTGGGAGAGTATTAAGGTTGAGAAGCCTCCTGTACTTCCCAGAGGAAACATTATTTGTGATCCACTGGGAAGAGCTACGCTATGTTACACTGAACAAACTGTTCGGTGAGGAACGATGGGCTGGGACACCTTTGCAACTTCCGAGAGCCAGTCTTTATATTTTGTAGGGCCAGCACAGCTTTTGCTGATACATTGTCTCTATCCAGGAATATAAATATTAGACTAAAAAAAAAAACCTAAAGGCTGAAATGGAAGTTTGTACAGTCCGTTATTATTACTGAAATGGAAATATAATTTCTCTCTATATGCATCCCTAAATAGGTTTCTGTTCTGTCTAATTGGCCTGAGAAGTGGAACAGAGTTGCTTGCTAGAATATCTATTTTCATATAAGTATTAATCTAATGGGAATTCCATTTAATCTTTCCCTATTTGTAAGACTTCTCAGACTGGATACAAATTGCAACTTTAAGTAAGCGCTCCTTTTAGTGCCATACCAGTGTCATGCTCTGTTAACTATGAACTAAGACGCTTCACGATGATGCTGAGGGTGTAGCAATTTCCATCACTGTATGCAGTATTGGAAGAGCACAGCGTGTCCTGCCTTTTAGGGTACCGAAGTGTTTGTCTTCTAAAAGATCTTTTCCAAATGTTTGTTCCTTTTAAAACTTTTTGCTTTCAAAATGTAGCTTTCCAAGTTTGCTCTTGGATGTCTTGTTTTGTTTTGCTTTGCTTTGCTTTGTTTTGTTTTAATGGCAGCAAAAGTTGTCACACACATTCTCTCAATCAACCGCTGATCCTAATTTCCTACCTCTCTGGAACACCAGGAAATCAGTGAAATAGCCACTGATTTTTGTTCCATCATTTCCTTTCCTGGTTCATCCTGTGATCTTCCGGGCCAAGAGCAGGTCCCTGATACTAAAAAATACAAAACTCCTGCAGTTCTGTACCCAGGTATTAATTCTGGTTCCTAGCTTCTTTTCTGGAGAAAGAGGGTTAAATTCTGGCTCCATTGCAGCCAGTCACAAAACACCTGCCAACCTCAACAGGGCCAGAATCTCACCCAGAAATTTCACTCCACGCTACCTGGAAGCTTCTGCACTGGGGTGCGTAGCATGTCCCCAGCTGGACCTCCGACTGCTGCGCTGCCAGAGCTCTGCGGGATGCCGGTGGGAGGACTCCCAGAGTGAGAAGGGTAGGGCACGCCCTTAAGTAATTTTAATTTTCTAACCAGTAAATGGACGTAACTCAGGGAAGTTGCTACAGCAATA